CACTACCGACCCGCCCCCCCCCCCCCTCCCATTACAGACCTTAGCACTCAATATAAAACATGTTAGATTTTCTATTTTTTTTGGAAAATTGATCAAGTTATTATTTTGAACAATAATGAATATCATTATTTGTGACTTGATTAATGTATATCATAGATATGTAAAACACACTTATTTGTCAATCAGTTCAATGATAATAATAATAAGAATGATAAATTAAGAAAAACGAATTAGAAAAAAATTTAAAAAAAAATGAGCGAATAGTAACAATGAAAACAAAAAACAGGGCGCCCGTAAGAAAATGAAAAATAAAAAATTCTTTATTTTGCACCTTCTGTATTTCGTATTAATATAACGAAGCTGAAGAACATATGTGAGTTCCACATTTCAACCCCAAAGGGCTGCGCTAACAAGCTTTTCCATTCAAGCAAGTTAGGAGCAGCAAAGCGTTGCTTCTGTCGATGTGTTATCGCAGGAAACAAAATCTTAATGTAGCCAAAATCTATCAGTCATTAAGCACCCATTTCCAGCTTCGAGATGAATATGATAATGCTTTGAAGATAATAAACAGTTACAATCGATAAACCGTTTATTGCTGAGACCTATTTGAACATTGGCAATTCATATCTAAGAAAGAATAATGCAACATTTACGTTGATTTCATTTGAGAAACTCTTGATTTTAATAATATGGGTGTAGCTTATGAGTCACTCAGAAAATTCGAAGGCGCTTGATATTAGTATCAATAAACGTTAATTATTATCAAGAAGACGTTTCCAAAAAATCATCCAAACTTGACAAAGTCTCTAATGAACATCTGCATGATTTATGCACATTGAAATCAATTTAAACCTGCAGTTAAGCATCTAGAGCGCTTATTGCAAATGCAACAATTGCCACCTCCACCGAATCATCCTGATTTTGGTGACACATACTGAAATATGACTATCATCGATAAGAAATAATTTAATCGGTTATAAGCATTGGCGATTTTCTCTAGAACTTTTTCTCCGACGCATATCAAAGTAATTCAGTTTTATTCAATCAATGTAATTTTTTTGTCGAATTTCCCTTTTAAGAAAGAAATAGGCTCAGTTAATCTACAACATTTTACGAGCATATGAGGGGTTTCAATCTAAAAGGAAAATTTAGAGGACTTGAACTGATGTGAGAGAACCATCTTAAGCTAGAAAAGAAAAGCTTATTTTAGTTAAGGGCAACTATTTGGAATATTGATGCTAGCTACCAAATGTGATTAAGTAGAAGCTGTCTGTCATTATCAGCATATTGCTCACTAGTAGTAACAATGATGAATATCATAATCATTCTACGAGTACATCCCTAACGTCGGTTACTTAACTTAAGTGGTTACAACTCCTTGTATACTGGAAATTGTTTGAAATATCTTATGTCCATGGATACCCGTAGTGTAAAAACGATTAATTCTATGTTCAAAAATGTGTGCATTCTGTATTGGTTTCATGCCTAAGCGCCACATAAAACATTCTTATAATATTCTGATAGGTCATAGTAGAATTTATTCGCAAAAAAATACAGGAGGAATTGGTAATATACTCTAGAGAAATAACTTTGAAAGAAAACATAACAGTAGAGTAGTTCTATAATTCTGACTAGCACTGTCGTTCGACAATCCTCGACCAGTGATAAGATATACTGCAGATGTACCCAGCCAATGTCCTCCTTCGTAATGGTTTTCATCAATAGCTATCAATCCTGCTTGAGCATTTCTTTTGCTCAATTCAAATAATTGTTCACGACGATTGCTTTGTTGAGTATCGAAGGAAAGAACTTCAACAATCCCGTCTAACATCCATGCACGACTAAGAGATAAACCAGCTAAATGAATCAGTCGTGGATCAGCGATCGAAGGTGGTTCAAGACTGCTTGGTAGAATTTCTGTTGAGAGAAAGGCAGTAAACCATTGAACGAAATCTTGTGGTCTTTTGTTCATAACACGACGCATTAGATCAGCTTCAGCTAAACCGGCAGAGAGAAAATCTTCACCCGATGGCTCATAATTAAATGGATATTTTTTATCCGAAGAAAAAAATGCAAGTGAAAGTTGTTCAATCAATTGAGCGAATGTGGTATTGTTCATTCGACAAGCATAATCGAGGGAAAGATCAAGTGCAAAAGCTGTCTGACTATGTTTACCACTACGAATAGGATATGATAGTTTTGGAAGTCAAGAAGAGAGACGTGTAACAATCAATGTTTCCAATGGACGTACGTTTTCACGCCATTGACGAATCTCTTCGTAATTCTATAAAAAGAAAATCTTCGCAATGTTGATGAAAACAAATGTTGTCTTCTTGTTCATGTTTAATACATATGTATGGTTTCTTTTAAATACAGATATGATCATATCTTCTCAGAAATAGATTGAGAACGATCTGTTGGTTTTGATGTTTATTGTTCAAGCTACTCACTCATTTTCTACGAACATTGTCTAAGAAATATTTTATTCAATCCGAAAATTTCATTTTCGATTAAACTGTAGCCAAAAGCAATATTCAAAGATTAAACTAGTGTCTTTAAGAGAGAATTATTAAGAGACAGAACATGTCAGAAGACCTTGGCTTCCAATAAAAAATTATGTTGTTCATTTGAAAAGCAATTGAGTCACTTTAATCATGAATAAGAACCTGAACCATGTCTATCCTATCCGGCCACAGATATGTCAACATTTTTGTTGTAGTCAGTGAGATTCTTTGAAAGAGGGGCACTTCCCTCACCATGCATTTCAACACTAACCAATAGTTTTTGAAATTTTGAACTCTCAACAGATTAGATACTAATAAAATCTATTTAACTTAGAATTCTCGATTGTTGTCTAGGGAAATGGAAGCTGTTAGCCTCGGGTACTCCGCTTATTTTTTAAAGATAAAATTTGCTTTCCCTTTACCGTACTTCTTTCTCTTCTTGTGCCCATTCATCTAATTCTGTAGCGAGTTGTAAAAACCATGCTAATCCATAGGATTGTTCAAAGGATTGTCGTTGATCCTGGTTAATATATTTGATTTCATCTTGAAGTTTTTCTTTGGTAAAACTTTTTCCAAGTGCTTCCCGGCATTCGATAGCTAGAGTCGTATCGATACGAGCGAGTCGAGTCAAAAGTCAATGGCGATGGACAGCCGAATGCCAATCAAAACAGCCATAAAAGGCTGGAGTCAATTGACGAGGTGGTTGAGCATCACTATCCGATACGAGAACGTGAGCCAATTTATTTGGATATTCTCGATGAATACAAGACAGAGTAAGAGAAGCAAAACGACGACGCATGGCGGTCTCATCTATTCAATAAAGAACAACAAAAACACGGCATCGAGTTATCTAAACACGCACTCATGAAAACATAATTGATTTCATCCTCACAGCTATGTCTTAAACCATTCGTCTTCTTATCTATTAACGTATTGTTATTGCTCTTTTTCTCGATGATTTTCGTGATAGCATTAGGACCAGTCCCAGCAGTCATTGTCAAAAACAACAAAAGCGTGATATACGCCGTCATCATATGTGCCAAAAAAATGATATCAATGTTCGCAATTTCTATTTAAATACTCAACTTGAAGAATCGCAGTCGTAAACAGTCGATATATAGTTGTAGCCTTTAAGGGTACCCCCCCCCCTCTTTTTTGACCATTTCTAGATCTCGAAGATGGTAAGGCCGATCGAAATGAAATTTTTACCACAAATAGAACACCTAAA